GGTTGACGCTACAGGCGTCAGTAGCTAGCTCGCAATGTGCGCCACCGTAACCCTTGTAACAAATACAAGTATAGCCGGTGCGAACAGAGTGACACGTACCGTGGACGCCGCAAGGGTTTAGCGTACAGCCATCCGTGTAGTTACCACCGGCAGCAACGTAGCAGCCACTGATCCCAACACCGTCGCCTTCCATGCCGTCCGGACATATACACTGTGCCGACTGACCAGTTGGTGAAGCGCTTTCCACACACTGCGCGGACGGGTGGCAGCCTCCATGATTGATATTGCACGTACCTCTCCAAGAACATGTAACTCCGTCTCCTTGATAGCCAGGTGGACATGGGCTGCATATTCGAGAACCAATAGTGTTGTGACATGTCACCAAAGGACTGCAGCCTCCATTCGGTATTGTTGTACATTCGTCGATATCGTAGCAACTATAGCCATCACCTTCGTAGCCAGCAGGACATTGTCCACATCGAAATGAGCCAGGCAGATTAATACAGTCAACTTTAGGGTTCACGGAACACCTGGGGCCTTGATGAGACTCACATTCATTGATATCAGTTAAGCAAGCGATACCAGTGCCGTTCGTTGTCCATCCCTGGTGGCAAATACATTGAACGCCATCACCTGTAGTTACTGGAATACAGGTTCCATGGCCGCACATTTCAAAATCACCACCAGAACAGTCTTTTGCCTTCCTAGTACAATGCAAACCAAACCAGCCAGATTTGCAGAAGCACTGATACGACCCTGGCGTATTGTAGCAAGTGGCCCCATTTTGACATCCCAGATCTGTTCCTGCAAAGTTCCTGCATTCGTTTACGTCAACATCACAGTCCCTGCCTTCCCAGTTGGGTGGGCACAAGCAATGGTAGCCATTCGCCAAGTTGAGACAAGTTCCACCGTGCTCGCACGGATGAGATTCACATTCGTCTCTGTTCCGACTTTCTAATTGTGATTGTAGACTCAGCACTTTCCTGTGTATATTGTTGATTCTTCTCCAAATTAAGGATATGTTGAGAAGCAGGTCGCTTGGTAGCGCTGTGTCCTTGTTCTCCAACTTGTCCAGTCTTTGCAAGATACTGTTTAGAGCACTGAAGGGGATTTCGTTGCCAGTTGGTTGGTATTGCGTCCCATCGTTGGAGATTTTCGTTTTAAGTATATTTACGTCACCGATAAAGATGTTTGAATTCGGTCCATTTGGGCGTAGATATATATTTTTGTCTAAAGCTGGTTCCAAAATGAGGTCTCCTCCTGAAGTCTTGATTTTTGGTCTGTCTTGGTAGATTTCACCATCGAGTGGTACAAAACAAAGCACAGCTAACAAGAGCCACTTGCCGAGTGTGCTCGTCATGATCCATGTGATCGAGTGGACGAGTGCTCACAGAGTGCGTGGGCTCTGGGTTGCGACAGCCACTACAATGTTTATCAACATTGGGGGCGTATTAGTGTACGCCCCTAGCGATGTTATATTTGAGATGATTAACGCGCGCGGGCCATCTGCTCAACTCTATGATACACCATATGATGTATTTTCCAGAAATCATAGATATCGTTAATTTTCGATGATAAAATTAATAGGTCTTTTGTGTAATATGCTTGGGAATGTTAGGATATTGACATTATAAATTAAGAGTTACTGCCTCGATGGCCGACTGGTCGCAAAGTGCGACTGCTGGGCAAGCAGTTTTGGGTTCGAATCCCGGGTCGGGCAAAGTATTACTGGTTTCTTTTTAATATTCTCAGTAGTAGTATGGAGCCTGGAATTGTCACCGGTATATGACAATAGGCTCATCCCCTATTACATGGGACTCAAAGTATAAATAGTGAAAAGTGGGTGTTACATTGTACAGAGGTATTAAGTGCCGTAATGATGTGTACCTTAGCCTACCCCTTCGGGGGTAATTTGCCGGCGTGGTGTGATTTTACGATATGTTAAAATAAGAGTTAGTCTTAAGATCACACATTCACATATTAGCTGTACGAAACGTTCTACATCTTATTTTGTACTTGAAACACGTGTTACGTTACCGTTGCTGAATCATCGAACTTTAAAATTTTACTCAAAGTAGACTAGTAAAGTCTTGAATTGGCCAAAAATGCATGCAAATGCATGCGAGGTAATAATTTTTTAGCAAAAGGATATCTTTCATTATAAATATAAGAAAAAAAAGAAGTAACAGGTACAAAAGTTTATTACAAAAATCTCACAATCAGTCGGTTTTAGATTTAATACGAATCGAAATAATTAACTAATCAAGCTTTTCACATAAAATAATAATAAATGCAAATATAAATGGCAACTGCAAATAATCACAACTAAATTTATTAATATAGCTAAATTATTTTACGTATTGTTGAATGTCGCAGGCATTTAGAGTAAACTAGCGACCCGCTCCGGCTTCGCACGGGTGCAACATGCATGTATTACACATAATTATTATAAACCTTCCTTAAACTGTCAAACACCAAGCAGTCACCGGTGACCGCAACCTATTGTTCTATAATTGTGTCTATAATGACGGTACTCGACGAGTTAAGAATCGTTTTATCTATTAAAGAAAATCGTATCAAAATTCGTTGCGTAGTTTTAAAGATCTAAGCATACATAGGGACAGACAGACGGCGGATAGCGACTTTGTTTTATAATATGTAGTGATTCATTCAGTAAATTACATACATATTACTAGAGGCTAATCTTGTTTTTGTTCGCATGGATGCTCAATGAAATTATAATTGTTTTAAATTCATACAAATCTTATCACGATCATAAAATAGAATTGTATGTAGTGGCCAGCAGATCGACCTACAACAAATTGTCAAATTTATTCATTGGATTTTCGTCTTTATGTCAATAGTACAAAGTTGAAGATGTAACAAAGAATTTTGACAGAAACGGGTAGCTTGACCTGCTGCCCCCATTATATTAGATCACAATAGGTATAGGTAATGAAACATTATGAAAATAGGTACTGCTGCTAGTATACCGCAAAAACCGATATAAAACCACAAAAGCTCTTTGCTCCTTGCGACTTAGACTTAAAATGTTCATAAACGCAATAATGGACGCACTAATACATATTTGTGACTACTTCTAGGGAGGAAGTATTATAAGTATGACTCATATAGAAACACGTATTGATTAAACATTTGGATAATTTCAAAATTTACGTTAAAATACTCTAAATGTTCGCGACATTCGTACAGTTGTGCACACAAAGTAACAATTACAATGCTTTATTTTTCAATGAAATGAAAATAGCTGCTCTATAATTAAAATAACTTCAAATATTTTTACAAGTCCTATTTAGTATTTGTACAATTACACGCAAAATAGATTGGTCAACCAACTTTGAGTACTATTTCGTACTGACAGATTTTTGAAATGCTTTGTATGAGACTTAAGATTTATATTTTTTCTTTCTTAGTTTGGTAAGTATCACTGACTCGAAATATCTTCCTAATAGGTATTACTAAAACGAATTTCTCTTTAATTTATGTAGCGACGGAGCGTTTTCTGTTATAATTTTTGTGTTATAGATAGGAAACTGATTCTTATGACTACACAAAAAGCATTACGCCTCAAAAGGTGTATATATATTTTCTGCAGCTGCCATGGGATTTATTAAGCAATAGAACTCAAAATTGGTTGACACAACTGTACACAGACGTTTAGGCTAACATCTGACGTGATTTACAATACAGGATGTGTAAAATTTAAAGTTTTAAGAATTGTTATAAATAAATATTTAGAGGTCGATATCAATTAAAATTAATTTGTCGATATAAACTCAACCGAATACTTTGACAACGACAACATTATATTTACTAAGTACGTTAACAAAGAACATACGTCATTCGTAGGTATACAACCCACTAATTGTAACATATAGTTAATTTTTCTATTATATAATTAATAAAACTTGTTTACAATATTTTATTTACAATGTAAGGGGAAATACATACTTTCGGCTCATTTAGTTTACTGTGCTCTGTGGTATAAAGCAAATAACAATGAATAAATTATTTTAAAATATGTAGATTCAAAATTCTCCTATAAACGTTTATTTTTAATTGTTGAACTGTAATGTACAGTAGTACAATAATTCACTAGAGATGGTCATATAAAGAAAGAAGGAAAGAAAAACATTTATTATATCCAAGTTTCTTTTCAGAGTAGTCATATAGGAAATCAGAAGCTCGAATAGTATAAAGAAATATTAAAATATCTGTTATTTGTAGCAGTATTTACTAGTTCTGTAGTGTATTTACTGGATACTGATACATAGGTAACACTGTTTTATACTAAACAGTAAAATACAATACAATAAAGATCTTCTTCATTTACTGGTACTTTCTTGGGTAATTATTTAGCACAGTTACCTACAAGTCTAATATAAACGTTCTTTTAACCCGAGATGTAACCAGTAAATCAATAGTATGATGGAGGAACTTATAAAAATGCTGCAAATACTACAAAGAGGAATGATTTGATTGTATATTTATTTGAATTGTGTTTTGAAACTAATGAATAAACTGGTTTAAATATTTATCTTTCACATTAGGGTAGTAGATATTGAATGAACATTCAAAATGTAATTAGTTCGTCAGTTAGATAATAAAAAAATATTTGATATATTTCTTTTATTTTGTGGTATGAGAAAACAATACTTAGATAAAACGGAATTAAGTTTAGAGAGGTCGTTACGTCACGCTACCCTATAAAATGTAGTAAATCGTGACGTCACACGATATTTCAAATCAATATATCGTCGAATGTATTTAATTTTTGTACGATAATAAAAAAATATGTGTCTAATGTTTTAAATTTATCTACCAGACGGACATTAAAATAAAATTTAGTATACTACCCTACTGGAAAGATTAATTTTAGGGTGTAACATAGGCTACTTTTTATGGCATAAGCTGGTAAACGAGCAGACGGATCACCTGATGGTAAGCAATCGGCGTCGCTCGTATATACCCGGACCACTAGAGGCGTTATAAGTGCCTTACCGGCCTAGGTTTAGGAATTTGAGGACTGTTGGGGATTCGGGATTAGGGAGATTAGTGGGTGACTGGGTTTCTGGTAACTTTGCTTATACGGCGATAGACAACGCAAGTGTTTTTTCACTATGGTTTTCTGCTCGGCCGTGGTATCACTCCGGTCGAGCCGGTCCATTCGTGTTGAAGCATGGCTCTCCCATACTTTACAATAAATTTTTACTCAGGAGTAAAACTAGTTGTACTATATGCTTTAACAATTCCTCTTTATATTAAACATTAAAATATGACCTTTTAATAACGAGCAATCAACTTATAGTCTAACATTTTATCAATACTGCCTTAAAGAGCTGCCTTGATTATATTATTATTTTCTTTTTGTATGTATTCCCCCTTAACTTTTAATTAAACACTACTATATACTATATAATACAAATAATAGAGATTTTATACTTATAACAATTATTGAGGCACGAACAGTGAAATAGCACCAATTACTTATTTCACACTTAAACATAACATTTGCGGTGTGATGTGAAATGTGTGTGATGTCAAATCTGAATAATGTCAAATAATTATGTGCTCTATCTATTTTGTTTTAGGGATTGTTTTAATCTGTTTTATTGCTAAATAATTTCGTTATAGAGATTAGATGACTGAGTCAGTGTATTGATGTGTTCACTATGTTTTTGTTTGTACGAAACTGGACTACAAATAATGAAAGAATCTTCGGCACTGGTATAAGTTTAAGTCGAAATCAGCATTTTATAGCACGTAGAAATCAAATTATATATTTGTTAGTAAACGCATAAACGACAGATAGCGATGATCGACACTAGCCATTAGATCGAATTAGCCTTTGACTATAAACACAATAGAAACTGCATGGAGTTTTGCGTAGATTTGCGTTCCAGCACACCACGGGTTAGTTTATAGGTTTCAGTTCGGTCGTCTGAAAGTCGAGTATCAATCGAATGCTCAAAAAAAGTATCGCACGGGTAAGTGAGTGAGTACGGGTCAGTGCGCGCGGGGCGCGGGCGAGGGCGGCGGGGCGCGCGCGGCCGGCTCGGGCTCGGACTCGCAGGCGTCCGTGGACGCCGGCGTCGGCGGCGGCGGCCGGTTGCTGGCGCGGTAGTGGCGGTAGGGCCGCCGCCGCGGGGCCGACCCCCCGTCGCTGCCCGTCGCGGGGCTCGGCGGCGGGTTCGCTGTCGGACGCGGGTACCGGGCACACCCGCTCTCTACGCTACTGGAGGGATAAAAGTACACAAATTAATGACGTAAACGACATACCACGCTGTTATACAGCAACATACAGATCAAAGTTCAAATAATGAATTTAATTTAAGGGGGAATCACATCTCATTGAAAAGGTACACTGCATAATTTGTATTAAATTTGTGTGTATCCATTAATCTTATGCTTAAAAGTATACTTACTCAGTATAACTAGCAGTGAGCGCAGGAATCATGGGGATATCGCGTTTGATAGGCACAAGCGCTCGGGCTGCGGGTGTTATAGGAGGGAGCGAGGGGCCCAGTCCCACGGCGCGGCCCCTGCGAGGCAGCGGGGCCCGGGCGGCCCGGCGCACCCTCCGCAGTGCGGCCCAGGCGGCGCCGAGCCCGGCGGCGGCCCCCGCGATACAGCCGCACACTACGAAGGCGCTGGACCGCCTCGTGCCGGGCGCTGTATGTTCTTTGGCGCCCGCAAACCCACAGTTAGCGGGCGCCTCGTCAGACCCGTCCTCGCAGTGTTGGTGCCCGTCGCAGAGTAATCGTGGAGCTAGGCAGAGGCGTTCGTCACATCTGTAAGTTAAGAATGATTTTTAGATAAATTTCAAGTTCAATCTAGTTTTGAAGTTATTTTCTGGAGCAGTTGTTGTGCAGTTCATGTAATTTTGGAAAATAGTATATTTTATGCCACGTACCGGAATGCGTCAGGCAGCGGCGCGCGCGCGCAGTACGCGCCGGTGTCGCAGGCGCCGAGCGCGGGCGCGCAGGCTCCGTCGGCGCAGCGCAGCCCGCCCGCGCACGCGCCGCACTCCGCCTCGTCCGCGCCGTTCTCGCAGTCTTTCTGTCCGTCACATCTGTGCGCATACCGTGGTTACTTATCAGAGCAAGCTTTTTATTTTTCATATTATACTTAACAAACAATTTGACTAAAACCTTTTGAAAGTTAACAATATATTTAAAAAACTCGGTGAATCTATGACCTATATCACAATAGAAAAAATAAGAATCCTGTACTAACTTCCAGTGATGCGGTATACACCGCGGCTCGGGCGCGGCGGGGTCACACAGGAAGCGTTGTGGTTGGCACGGGGCGGGGGCCCCGCAGCGGAGCGCGCACCCACAGTTGCCCCCCGCGCCGCACGACCCCGGGGCCCCGCCGCAGGAACCACCGCGCCAACATGGGTGCGTGCGGGGGACCTGCGTGTACGTATACTATTGTACTTCATATTTACAAGAAACCGTTTATTTGATAATACATATGCTATTGCTATTATAATAATGATACTCGTAGATTAATGAATATAAACAAAGAAAATAGTTGTATGCATACATTATGATGTTGGTTGTAAAATGCATACATTTTGATAATTTATTAATATAGTTAATATAAGGAATCGGATTTCCAATAACGAGGTGTTGAAGTCACTTTACATTTTCAACGGGAGTCTTTTTTAGCATTTATTTATTTTGTTATATTATTTTACTTTGTCCCAACATTCATAAAACAGAACTCCAATCTCAAATATAGTTAAAAGTAACTTAAACTTAGATTTTTAAATAAATAATTTTTCATAATAGTTGTATGTTAGCAGTGCATGGTGCAGGTAGTTTACCTTCCCGACGGCCCTGGCGGCGACGAGGCGCGGTACATGCGGCAGGGGCTGCGCGGGGGCCTCGCGGCGGCCCAGCGCCAGGCGCATGGCGGCCCCCGCGCCGCCGAAGTACGCCCAGCCGCCCCACGCCGCCAGCGCGCCCGCCCAGCCGCCCTGCCACACCACGCGTCTGGACGGACACACGCTTAGTACGCATTGTTACACGACAACCACTATGAAGGGCCAATTTTATAATGCTCAGATAAATTCTGAGGAACAACTTTCAATATTTGGCAATTCTTCCATACTAAAAACTGGCAACTGTCAGGTGTATTCTACAGAATTATAATATAAAATTAACTGATGATTGAAAAACAGGCCCTAAATGTTTGGTTGGCTGGGTTAAGTTAACATTAAAAGACTGAGTATGGCGGTAAGTCAGTTTAAAGTTTCATAACCAAAAATGTAATGCAAATAAGCATTATCTGTGATTGTTCAGTTTTTGTTATAACTTACTTGGTGAAACTGAAACTGTAATATGCCTAACATTATAATTTAGAAACTCTGGGTATACCTTCCCCTTTTTCAGCTATAATTCTACGTTTTGTTCCATCTATGCAATACATAGTTACATGGCAGAAAAACATAAGATAATGCATTTTATTTATTTACGAACATTATGCTATTAGGTTTAGACTATGCAGTAGGGCCTTTGAGCACACGGTAAACGTCATTAAGTAGTTTCGAACACGGATACGAACTTGTTGGATCCGTCGAGGTCGACGGCGAGTATCTGTCGGCTGGCGGCCCAGTACAGCGTGTTGCCGGCGGCGTCCAGCGCCAGCGCCGTGACGTTACTGGCGCGCGCCAGCTCCACGCGCCCGCGCCCGTCCACGTTCGAACGCATTATCACGCCCAGGCCCGCGTCGCTCCAGATCAGGAACCTAGGAGATAAACATATTGCATACTGAAGATTATACATAGAAACAGATATACAATCAGAAATATTCCATATGAATACCTATGCCAGACATAATGCCCAAAAACTGTAACAAAGCCTTATGATAATTATCATCCATAGCAGGCTTTGGACGACAGCTGTAGTTTTAAAAATTACCGACATTTGATCAAATAATAATTAGGTGCCATAATACTAACTCCTCAAAATTGAAAAAAAAAGGAACAGAATGACATTTGTTCATTATTTGAAGAATACACAACCGTCAGTTTTTTAACATCATACAAAAAAAACAAACCATACTAACCTCTTAGTCTGATGGAAGGCCAGGAATCTGGGCATCATATTCTCCCCTCGAAGTATGACACCGGACGAGGAGTTATTATCAATGGAGGTGGCGTTTATAGAATCAGTGTCTGAACATGTCCAGTAGAGGGCGCGACCGAGAATATCTAGCACCATGTGGAAGGGCCGACTGAGACCTGAGACTACGACGGTTGAGTTTGAAATGGCTGACATCGAGGAGTAGGAGATTGGGACCCGTCGGATCGCGTGTGAGTCCTCGTCCATCCAGTAGAAGTGTCTGTAAACGGAAAGTGTTCTTGGAGTTATTTTCTACATAGGCAAAGGTTTCAATAAATTATTTGTGTGCACAGTTACACACACATACAGGTACTAGGAAAATGAGAATATATTTTACAATATATGACTGCCTGACTGGTCGCAAGTGCGACTGCCGGGCAACGGGTCTCGGGTTCGATTCCTGGGTCGGGCAAAGTATTACTGGGTTTTAAAAAATCTCAGTAGTAGCACGGAGTCTGGAATTGTGCCCGGTATATGGCAATAGGCTCACCCCCTATTACATGGGACTCATAACATAAATAGTGAAAAGTGGGTGTTACATTGTACAGTGGCATAATGTGCACCTCTGCCTACCCCTTCGGGGATAAAAGGCGTGATGTTATGTTTTGTTATTTTAATATACTTACTTGTTAACAGGATCATACTCGATTGCCTTAACGTTTTTCAGCCCAGTCAGCGGTATGTAAGCGTCGCTGCATTCCCCATTAGTATTCACTATTCGTCCGATTGCATTCTTCAGAGCAAATAGTACGAATTCTTCTGGTTCTGTGAATAGGTACATTATAAGGTTAGATAAACGAGTCTATTTCTTTTCGTTCTCAACAATCAACTTGTTGTTAAGATAAAATTTTGCTACAGCCCGAATATGTTATTCTTTGTAATCATATCTACCAGATAGACAAGTTATTGAAAAGGGAGTAAACTAGAAATATAATTTTAGTGATTACAATTAAAACTTGTCTAGTGCTCCAAGAAAGAAGCTGATGATGATTACCAGTGGGCCTAGGAGTTTACTCTTGAATCCAATTCCGATCGATCGACATTGGTATTGTAAAATTTCGTACTCTTGAGCCACAACACTAGCGCCCATTGCATCCGTATTGCGTAGATATTTAATGAACTTGGTATTGAGTTTGGCTTTATATTCCGTATTTTGAATGACATTTTAACAGCTACGATAGGGGCTGTTTAGGGACTTTGAATAATTCATCATCATCGTCATCAACAGTCTATAAGTGGCCACTGTTGACTAAAGGCCTCTTCTCGCATAGAGAAGGTTTGAGGATTTATCACCACGCTTTTTAATGCAGGTTGGTGATTTCAAACCTATAATTAGAAATTATAAGTCTAGGTTTTCTCACAATGTTTGATTATTGAATAATTATTGAGATTTTATTGGATTAAAATGGATTTCACGAGTAAGCACCTAGTAAATATGGGCCCGACCAGAACCAGGTCCGAGCGTACGGCACGTCGCGTTCCGCGCGCTTCAAGGAGCCATCAGCATCAGCCCACCACCGATGGGGCTCAACAGGGCTGATGCCGATATGGAGCCGAGGAAAACTTAAACTTAAACGGATTGCCGAGGCTCCGGCTCGAAGTGCAGGAGTAGGAACGGGGTGGTTTTCAGTCAGTAAGAGTCTGACACTCCCTCTGGCCCTGATCCGGGCGGGTGAAGTCATTGGATGAATTTTCCCTCTCAAAAAAAAGGACTCAGTAAATGAGAAATGGGGTGAGTATAATTGGAGTACCGTCGCAAGTGAGGTTGTCCCTGTTGAGGCGGTAGTGCGCGGGGCAGGCGCAGACGTAGTCGGCGGGCGCGGCCAGGCACAGGTGCGCGCAGCCGCCGTTGTCGGCGCCGCACTGCGAGGCGCCGGCCGCCGGGCCCGCCCACGCCGCCAGCGACGAGATGTACTCCAGCCCCGCGCCGCGCGCCGCGCGCCCCGCGCCAGACACCTTGTTGGCAGACTCCACTACACCTGCAAGTACACTCATTATTTCCTTCCTGTTTTATATAAGAACACTGCCTTGTTGGCCGAGTGGCTGCAAGTGCTACTGCCGGACAAGGGGTCTCGGATTCAATTCCCGGGTCGAGCAAAGTATTACTGGGTTTCAAAAAAAATCTCAGTAGCAGCACGGAGTCTGGGAATGGAATTGTGCCCGGTGTATGGCAATAGGCTCACCCTCTATTACATGGGACTTGTAACATAAATAGTGAAAAGTCGATGTTACATTGTACAGTGGCATAATGTACACCGCTACTTACCCCTTCGGGGATAAAAGGCGTGATATAATGTTATGTAAAAAAATCAATAAAAAATGCACTCACCAGTATTCCAATCACCAAAATAGATCTTATCATTATACAACGTCAGCGTATAAGGCATGGACACATTGTTTATCAACGTCTTGCGTCCAGTCCCATTAAGGTACGCGAACTCTATGACCGGGGGGTCTAAGGCGGCCCAGTAGAGGCCTCGTCTCTCATAGTCTATGGCGATGGAGTGGACTTTGCCAACTTGTTCGAAGAGGACTGTGGGAGATGAACCGTCCATACCAGCCCGCTTTATACTCTTTGAACCGAGTTCTGACCAGTACATGTAGCTGGAAGAAATTTGTACAAGTTATTTATTTATTTCAATTAAATAGTCATACATTACAGTCATAAAACCAAGGCGTTATACATTTCAAATAATTATAAAAAAAAAAACAAAAGTTACTACAATAAATAAAGTCCATTTCACGAAAGAAGTCCCGCGGACAATTGTGGAACTAAATTTGACAAATGGGGAGTTCGGCCATGTTGTCGTTTGTCGATGTTGTCAAGGTGAGTTTGTTGTGGTAGATATTTTGTGAGTTTATTATTAAATTTGTGCATTATAAGGTTTATTTACGATACCAAAAGTTGTAAAAAGTGCAGGTCGAGAAATGATATTAAAATTGAAAGAGTTCTGTGAAGCGGAACAGAAGAATCGCGGCGTTTTAATACCATTAGACAATGTTCGCAAAAGAGTTGCCGCCATAACAGGTAAATTTTGGGGCTGCCATATTAAACATATTTTTTACCAATTAGACTTAAGTTTTTTTAATGAGGAATTAACATAACACAACAAAAATTTGTAAAACTGTATTCAACAATAATATAATTAAATGCGGAAAAAGTCACTGTTAGATTTTTTTTAATTGTTCATTTTATTGCAGGTGTGTCGGAGAGTCGTGTGTTATAAACACACGAGACGGGTAGCGGTTAAAAACGTGGGCCAAGATCCAAAAGAAATTGTACGCCTAACAGAAGAGGCGTTCGAGACTGTTACAGCGGAAGATTGGGCAGTTCAATGCAAACATGTACAGCATTTGGAGGAAGAATATTTTTAAAAAATGATGGTCTTATGGATGAAGAAATGCATCGATTTATTATATCTACGGCTAGTGATAATGAAACAGAATCTAATTCTGTTTCTATTCACTCTTCTGACAGTGATCATAGTATGACCGATCATAATTATTCAATAAAACTTTAATAAAACTTTTTAAATGTTATTTTATGTTTCTAATTTGATGTTGGTTGAACATCTTTATTTCCATTTTATATTTTAGAAATTACAGGAAGATTAATTTTTCACTAATCTGACCTTAGCAGTATAAACATAAATACCTATATAAAAAGACATTATTTTTAAAATATTCCTCGAACTGTTTTCTCCTGATTTCCCCTGATTTCCCCATACTATATAAATTTAACCGTGGCAACATTATGTCGCGCGAATACAGCGCTGCGTCTGCGGGACTTCTTTCGTGAAATGGACTCTAATACGGTAGTTGATAGGTAGTCAAATTCAATACTTTTATTGAAATGTCAAAAATCACTCGATCGCGTGATCGCAACTTATGACGTCATCATATTTCTGCGTCAATTAGCATACTTATTTCCTTAGAATTAGCGAGAAAAAATCCAAAAGTAGGTAAATTGTGAAATCAATGGATGAGAGTATGATTATTTTTTAGTTATTTATTGCATTGAAAAGTTGAAACAATTTATTTTAAACCTAGGCAACTAGCCAATTATTTAAATAAGTTACAATTATAAAAAAATAGTAAATATCAAAATGTTGAATAATATATTTATAGCTTTTTAATAATTTAATTCTTTTTCTCTTTTAAACTTACCCCTTTTTAGGATCCAGTGCAATGCTCTTAGGTTTCTTTAACCCCTGCCAGATGAGGGTCCGTCTGCTGGAGCCATCAAGTCGAGCCACTTCAATGCGCTGCGTCGCAGTGTCCGTCCAGTATATGTTGTGGCCTGACCAGTCTATTGCTATACCTAGTAGCATAATAGCGGTTAAGATATTTAACAATGTAATTTAAACTTTGACTGGGATTATTAAAGTCGATTTCAGAATGATATTTGCAATAAATTTTATTAGCCAATGAATCGTTATACTATGTGTGAATACTGAATATTGTGTTAGTGATAATAGCCCAAAGAACATAATCTACACTTTTGTAAAATATTGTTTTTACCGTACCTTCAACTAAACCCATCCACTCCAAGACCTTCTCCATATTGGAACCATTGACAGAACATCGGTTGATGGTCTTAGTTTTAGCGTCCGACCAGTACAGCTTGTTGCCTGCTACGTGGACGGCTAATGCACTGTAAGAGGAAGCAAAATATGATGATCTTTAGGTAAATATGTTTTCATGGGATAAGTCGGCAGACGTACCGCCTGATGGCACGCAACCGTTACCCATGGACATCCACAATATCAGATGAGATACAAGTGCGTTGCCGACCTTTTAGTGATTGGAGCATAGGTACTCACCTAACTTCTTTCAAGTCTTTAAGAGGCAGTATGACGTCACTCTGCTCGTTCTCAATGCTGATGTGACCGATGACGTTCTTGCGACTGTACACTAGGAACGCTCCCGGTTCCACGCAGGTCTTCTTGTCTTTGCTTAGTTCTAGACCTGGAGTAGATTGGAAACAATCGATTTTAGTATTGGCATGTATAAAGCTAATACACAAGAATAAGATCTCGAAGGATATCAAAGAAAAAGCATGGTACTCACCAATAGGACAGCTACAGACATATTTCTCCGGAGTATTGAAGCAGAGATGCGAGCAGCCCGCGTTGTTGTCAGCGCACGGGTTCCACGGGAGCGTCTCCCCGAGGCGGAACGCCTTCACTCCCATCATGTTCGCCATCTGTTCCACTACTGCCTGGCGTTCTAGACCTGGAAACAAATTATACGATGTTGTAGACATTATTTTAAAGGTAAAAACAGTCATTTAAGGTCCACTTCTGAAAAAATTAAAATAGAACTGTCCAATAGTCTATCAATTAATGAAGTTTATTCTATGATGTTTTGTAAGTAAAATGGTGGCTTTATTTTTTTGCATGGAATGATCTGATTATTGAATGGATACGGAAACTCAAGGACCAAATGTCGACGAGTCGACACGGTATGTAGAAAGTAGCGCCAACGATAGAAATATAATAATACATATTATAAGGTTTTTGATAAATTTACTATAGGAGTATTGAAAAGTTCAGTAACATAGTTTTAAATAACTGTACCTGTGTTTTTGTTAATTCTATCTAAGGTCCGTTTCTGCATGTCAGTCCAGTAGAGATGTTCCCCGAGTAAGGTGAGGCCGAAGATGTGTAGTATCTCGCTGTTGTGCAGTTCTTTACGCTCCGTGCCGTCCATGTTGCATACCTGTAGAAAAGTAGGGAAACTTCAGCATTAACTTTTTAGTTTATAGAAAATTTTGATAAAACGCGACACTTTGCTAAAATTTTGATAGTAGTGCTTATTATTCTACTATTTTTAATGAGATTTTTTATATGGGGTTAATAAAAAAAGTTTACAGTGTTCTCTTCTGAGAAAAGTAGACCTTCTGCCAATAAACGTAATAATTGTTTCAGTAAAGTGAGAATTAGCTAACATAGTACACAATACACAAGAAAAAAACAGCATATACAATTATGCATACCTCAATTTTATGCGTCTTAGCATCACCCCAATAGAGTTTATTCTTGACGGTATCTAGTGCGATTCCATTAGGCCAGGCGAGTCGTTCCGACACGAGTAGTACGCGCGCGCTGCCGTCGAGGTTGGCGCGCTCTATCTTCGGCTTCTTCTCGTTCCAGTCCGACCAGAACATCCACCCAGCTACTGGGTGGAGGGCTATGGCGCGTGGGTCGTATAAGTCGTTGTGGATTAACACCTGGAATTTTGTGATGGGTTTTTAATACATTTAGGGAAATATTAGTTTAAACAAAAGCTCCACTAGTCACAGAGGGACTCTTTCTCATGAGCAGAGTGGGCAGTCGCGGTGACGTCGCACAGCCTACTGAACATATTTACGTGAGAAACACGTAATTTTTAGTTAATTCAGTATGTCTCGCAATAGTCATTATAAAAACATATAAAAACATAGTTAATACAAAAACAAAAATTGATGGATCGTTCAGATTATAGATTATAGATATATATAAATAGTGTACCGGAGCATGATTTGTTCCACAACTTACCAAGGTTTATTGAAGCAGTACAAAGGCATATTGAATATCACCGTATTGAGTAATTGGGTCTATATGGTTATAATATGTATGTCATGCTGAGAGTATGTAACTCTTATAAGTCTAATAATTAAGGTGAAATTTTTATTAATCAAGTTACGTGTTAGACTTAAATATGTCAGGAAATGTGATATTGCATTGGAATAAACTGTAAGATGTCATATTGTAAGGTGTTGTAATAAATAAATAAATAAAGATTTGGTTGTTGTCTTCAGAATGATTTTTTAGGTAAGCGTCGGTCAATAGTGTTCCAATTCATTTGAACACATCACACCACCAGTGAGAATCAGCCAGTTAATAAGTTTGGAAGTTATCCGGCAAGTGTTTCAGTTGTGTGTCATCAATACACTCAGAAAAATGACAAGTTTAAATCTCCAAATACCTTTTTCGAGCTCCCATCAAGTCGTGCGACATTGATAGTGTCAGTGACAGGGTCGGTCCAGTAAATGTTCCTAGCGAGTGGGTCGATAGCTATGCTGTCTGGCACTCCACTGCTGTGGATCACCACTGATTGCTCACTGCCATCCAGGCGAGCTCTGGATATTGTCTTTGCCTGAAATAAATATATAATCGAGATGTTAAATTAGTTCGTAAATTGTAGAAGTCAAAATAGTATTATTTTTAATGTAAGATGATGTAATTGACACTCTACATTATTAACACAGGTAATATATTTTTAAAGTGACTGGCGATGTTAGGGCAGCAATGGAGGACGCCAAGGTGACTGTTCTGGTGCTGGTTGATTTCTCTAACGCCTTTAACAAGGTCAGTCACAATATCCTCTTAGCTGTCCTGGCCTATCTGTCGGTCTCTGATGGAGCACTGGAATTGTTCTCTTCATACCTTCGTGGGCGTCAGCAGATGGTGCAGGTTGATGATACGTCATCGGGTTGGGCCACACTGCACAATGGCGTTCCACAGGGCGGCATACTTTCTCCTCTTCTGTTTTCTATTTTTATCAATCTTATAACTTCTGATCTTCAGTGTGCGTATCATCTGTATGCCGACGACTTACAGGTGTACTGTCACGGAGTAGTGGCTGATCTGGACCAGTGCATCGCCAAAATCAACCGTGATTTGGCTGCTATTAAGAGTTGGTCCGAGAGGTTTGGAATCGCTGTCAATCCTGACAAATGTCAAGCGATTATTATTGGTAGTAGTAAAAGTATGGCCAAAATCAACTTCACTATACTACCGCCCGTACTGTACAACGGGACGCCTGTCCAATATAGTGAGAGCGTCAAGGACCTGGGTATACATATTGACAGTACCCTCAGTTGGCGAAGTCAAACTGCCAGTGTGAGTCAAAAAGTTACCGGATCGCTGCGGTCTCTGTACCGTCTCAGAAATGTACTGCCTCCCAGCACTAAGGCGATGCTTGTGCAGACCTTAATTTTCCCCATCATCGATTATGGTGATGTGTGTTACTATGACCTGAATGCAGATCTCCTCAACAAACTTGACCGTCTTCTAAATAACTGCATTCGATTCGTTTCTAACTTGCGTAAATACGACCATGTGTCTGCACAGCGATCATTGTTGAAATGGTTGCCTATTCGTCAGCGCAGAGAGCTAAGGGCACTCACAACTTTATTTTCTCTGCTTGACTCTCCCAATTCTCCTAACTATTTAACTTCCCATTTCCAGTATGTATGTGACAACCATACTAAAAATCTACGCTCCTCGCATAATCGGCTGTTGCACTGTCCTGTCCATCGCAGTAACTTTACTCATTCTTCTTTCTTCATTCAAGTCATTTCTCTCTGGAACACGCTTCCAACGAATGTCAGAACCGCAACCAGTCGTCTGAGTTTCAAGCGGAGGGCGCGTGAGTACATTAGCGGAAAGCTGGCAGTTTCATAACATCTTTCATAATTTTTCATCTTGTTGTAACATAGGACAAATTCATATACGAGTCACAAATATATTTATATGTATAATGATATTTATATTATATATAATTTTATATATCTATACGATTATATTTACGTATTTTATGTATGCTTTTGATACCCTTTTATTAATTTGGATAATTACCACTATTTCTCATGACAGTTTTGCAGCTTACCACCTACCACATACATTTCTGCACTACCCAAAGGATGACTGGCAGAGAATGCTGTTAGCATTAAGTCCTCCTTATGCAATTGTATAAAACTTAAATAAATAAATATTTTCTAAAATTGATGACATAAGGTAAATAATCGCATAACAAGCAACTCACCAAATTATCAGCCCAATAGATGTATTCAGACTTTGGATCAAAGTCCACAGTAAGTGCTCTCTTCAGGTCCTTTAGATGTAGCGTGTAGGGAGTGAAGTCTGGCGAGTCCAGCGATATCTTGGAGATGGCGGAGCGCTGCGCCACGATGAGCAAGGACTGCGGGGAGTTGTAGCAAGTTGTGTTGCTGCCTTCCTTCAACTTGCAGCCCGTTGGACATGCACATTGGTAGCCTGTGGACAAAAATTGTATGTGTAAGTCACTATGCAGTGAATAATTTGTGATCTTTTTAAATTCCATGTTTGGGTTATTATTCCAAAACATGCCTGAAATAAACTGTAATATGCCTTTTGTTTGAACATCAACATGGAAATAATAAACTGTGTTGATATACTTGTGGAGCTTCGAGTGATCTGATGTCTGTGATGTATGACCACTCATACATCACATCTGTAACTACTTACATGTCGTGGATAACATTCACACAGTCATCAATAGAGTTTACTTCAGAAAGTATTACTAAAAACTGTACCTGCTGGTTTAGGCGCTAAAAGGCACAAATGTGAACATCCTCCATTGTTCTCCTTGCATGGATAGTCTCCAGTGGGCATCACTTGCTTGCTTCCATCATACACCTTCAAATCTACAGGCACTGGGTCTGATTTTATCAATTCCTTCATTGGTCCTGATGTTGAAATGTCCCATGTGTGTATTGACCTGAAATTGAAGTTCAGAAAAAAATTTAAATCATTTAAAATCATTAAAATTAGTATTGTAAAGTTTTACTGTTTAGTTTGGTACTTAAAAACTAGGGGAATTGAGACAAGGGTGAATGTTTGAAGAGATTTCATATATGGTTGTTTGCATTCTGTTACATTTTATTACTATATTTTCAAAATTTATCTTATGTATAAAATTATGAACGAAAGTCACTAGTTTGTTTTAAATAAGACTTACCATGTCTTCCAATCAGTCCAATACAATTTATAATTAAAAAATGCTAGTGCGTACGGATACACAAGTTCTTCTTTGACAACATTTCGTCTATTTTTTCCATTGAAATCGATGACATCGACAAAATGTAGCCTTGCATCAACCCAGTATATGAGGTCGTTGTCGTAATCTACTGTGATACCGTTTGGCCAGCATATATTGTCCTTGACTAATACTTTGCGAGTAGCTGGGTCCCCGTTCATGCCAGCTCTCTCTATTTTAGGCACTTCACCCCAGTCCGTCCAGAACATGAGACTGAAAGGGAAATAATACACATTGAAGAACAATTTGTGCTATCCACAAATTCAATGAACTGTTATTAACACAAATACAAAAAATATAGTAAATAAGTTCAACAGATATATTTCAGTATGTAGATCTGTATTACAAAATGATTTTAAACCATTATTATCATCACCATTCCAGGAATGATTACTGTACTATAATGGTATCGGTAAAGGTACTAGTGTATTTGGGTGTATTACATACTTTAATATGGGTCTATATTACCCAGGCAATGTGCAAACAATAATTATAATACTATCAACATAATAATAAAATCACGCTTTTTATTCCCGAAGGGGTGATGCACATTATGGCACTTAATGCCACTGTACAATGTAACACCCACATTTCAATATTTATATTACGAGTCCCATGTAATAGAGAATGAGCCTATTGCCATATATCGGGCACATTTAAAACACCCAGTAATACTTTTCTCGAACCGGAATCGAATCTGAGACCCTTTGCCCAGCAGTAGCACTTGCAACCTCTTGGTCAATGAGGCAGTCAACTATTTATTATCAGATATACATACTATCAACTACTTATTAAAGTTTCATGCATAAAGTGAAATCATCAAGTGAACTTATTATCAAATAATCTTACCCTTCTTTAGGAACAAGAGCAATTGCCCTGGCGAGGTCGACCTCAGACCAGAACAATACCTTTCTATGTCTCTGCTCTATGCTAATGACTTCAATTCTATTGGTCTCTCCATCTGTCCAGTATAACTTGTCTGTATACCAGTCTATGGCTAAACCAGTAGGTGTTATTAACCCCTCTGAAACTATTCTAACCTGGAAACATTCAATAATGGTGTTAGTTTATCATTATGGGAAATGAAATGGGTACTTCTACACTACAAGTTGTAGTAAAGTACAAGTACAAGTTTTTCTGAAGAAATATGTAAACTTTTAAATTAAAAAAAATACAATATTTACACAAAAGTCTATAAAAACTTTGTCGCTATAACACTAAAAGAAAAAGACATCTTAAAGTTACACAGAGATTAGTTCAAGTAGTTATTTACAAATAATAACATTATTTTATATTCAATTTCTACTCATTTTTATGGAAATATTAACTATGCATGTTATTGTCTGTGTATTTGGGTACTAGTTTAAAATTCCTGTGTAAAGTACATTGTACATAAAATATGCCTTAATTACCTTATCTCCTACATGAGTTTCATTATAACTCATACACTGTATCAGCTCAGCAGTCTGATCTGACCAGCATATTAGATCCTTTCTATGAAGGAAGTCCACAGCTGAACCTTGCTCCAGGTCCTTCACGATGGTATTAACTTTACTCAATTTTGAAGTATTCACCACTCTTATGTCAGATGCCGTTGAGTATAACAATATTGGATTACTAACTACTGCATATAAACCTGAAATAATTGAATAAATAGTTAACTAATGGGGTCTTAAGTTGACTAAGGTGAGCTGACCTAACAGAAAAAATGAGGACTTTTAAAGATAAAACCTCTTTTTGTGATTGTGTCAAAATTCTCTCTAGAATACCATTACTTTAGAACCTTTTTTTAAAATTAATATATTATTAAACAACTGCTTCAAACCAGGGTTATCTTGCTATGGGGATTTAAACAAATACATATGTTTATATGATCTATGTGGAAATTGTGTAATTTACTTGTGTACTAATTTGCTTTGTTTACTTTACTGACAACTAGCCATTTCAGTTACAATTTCTACTTAATGCATCTTTTACCGCGTTTTTTGTATCGAAAATAGTAATTAGTTAAAAGTATGCAGTAATCATGCGTCTTTAGGATGAAATACCAAAATAACAAGTAAAAAATGGGTGTATTATTAGTAAACCTATTTTAGTGTAGCTTTTAGCAGATTATATGTAGGATTGGTCAGTTAAAAGTATTGAAAATTGCTTCTGCAGCTGAAAATAACGTAACAATAGATTCTACATTGGTACAATTTGTTTATCTCTAACATTTGTTGTGAATTGTATTGAACATGTTATCAATCAATAAACAATGATGTTTATTGGCCAATTATAATAATAAATTGATGTAAACACAAGAGCATCTTCGAGACAGAGAAAATCTTTCGATAAAAACGAAATAATTTACATAAACAATGTCAAAAAGTTCATATCTGTTGTGATAAGTGCAACGCGCAGCTTATTATACCTAGCAAGTGATATTAACGAAACACAACCAACCTTTTAACTGCAGGAACATTAACAAACAAAACACATTCATAATATTTTGAATTATTTTGTCCGCATGAAGTATTCTTCGGCGTTTTGTCATAATGAAAACAAATGCATAGCAATCGTCCCAATACTTCACATGTTTATTTCATTTAACACTATTTTAGAAAGCGAGAAACACAATAAGGCACGTTTAATACTCATTTGACCGCATTTTCTTTGTTTATTCCAAAAGTAAGAGACTATTTTTAACAATTTTGGTTATGGATAACAATTTCTCAGACAATGAGTTCGAGAGATCAACAAACGCAGTGATTGGTGTTGCCAGCTTTGTCTTACTTTATTTAAATGTTTACTTTTAATAAAATTACAAAAACAAAATTCTTATTAATATTTGACTACTCATTAATGTAATATTTTAGTTTAGCACTTTGGTGATTGTGATATATTTGATAACCTTATATTTTAAGAATTGATTTTAAAGAAAATTCCTATTAAACGTTACTAGTTGCATGAACAAGATGGCGTTACTAGGCTATTGAATTTTATTGAAATTAGATCGATTAAGACAATAGATGGCAATAGTAGCATAAATTAATAAAATTATTTAATACTTACTATGTAAAAAGTTAAAGCATTTTAGATAATAATACGAAAGTAAGTACTAATTAAGAATATTAGATATTGAAAGCCTGTGTTGATGTTACTAAAATTAAGTAAAAAAATCTTTCCCATATCCATTTTACGTATTTTTGTATTGGTATGTGCTGGGCGGCAACAAAAATATAATACTTTGAAAATAACTGGGTTGCCTAACTTACCTACTTAAGATAAGGCTCTCAGCTAGTTAAGTAACCTTCGAATAGTTGCCTATTGTAGTCAAACATCTCACGATAGTAGTTAATATAAGTAGGTACTGTTATCCAAAAAAAAAACAATCATCCGAACAAAAAAAGGAGGAGGTACCTATAGTACATCCTCCTTTTTTTAAGTCGGTAAAAATTAGATCTTATTGAACAAAAGATACAAAAGCAGTTTCGGTACCTGAATATCTCAAGACATTCAAACCGTTATATGGTTGGAATTATCATCACTATTACCATCACTATCAAATTAGTTTCATTTGGAAAGATAAATGACATTGAAATGAAGTTGTGTTAAGTAAGGTTTTTACTACCACAAAGTTAATATCGACGGTTCATTAAACTGGCGTCACCACTGGACACTGGCAGTATAGTCGACAAGATCGTTTTGGAGACTTGTTTGCCAAAGAAGTGAAAAAAAAAGTAAGGTTTACTCGTCGGACATTAAATACTGTACTTAAGTACCTTTTGAATCTGTGAGTTAGAATTGCTGCATAAATAGTGGTTTAATTAGACATGTTATTTGGTTTACTAACTAAACAAATCTCTGAAATACCTAACCAAAACAATAACGTTAACGGAAGCAAACCTACTAAGCGCTCAATTATCTCAACAACACGCGATGCGCGCATAGAACAGTACTAAATAGCGGTTGTTTCGATTTGGCTCGCTGCAAAATTGACTCAATCGCCAACAATAACAACTAAGCACCCCGCTATTCAATGCAGCCGCAGCCCGATTGGCTGCTGTAAATGTTAAACTGGTTGCAACACTGCCAATGAATAGCTCAGCTTTTGATTTGAATTATATTTGGGCAAATTAACCCCTTAGTTTGTTATTTGCTTATTTAGAGATAAACATACCTATATGTTGCTGGTTCGTACAAAATACTCATTCTTTGTAGTTGACCTTTTCGTAGCATTGGAATGTTTTGTGAGAGACATCGAAAACTCATTTACATTTTCATAAGGTCCCTTTTAAAATAAGTCCTGAAACAATGGTTGACTGCGAAACACGTACCCGTTGGATGTAAAGTTTGTCGGGGCAAAGCGGCCGTCAGCAGCCGGCAGGAGGTGCGTCACACTTCGTGCAAATTAGTGTCGGGGCGTCGGAGTGACGCTACCACAGGCAAACAGACTGAGTTACTGTGAACCGAATGTGATTTCAATGTCAAAGGACCTGCAAACAACGCGATTTATGCGCAGCTTGCGTTTAGTGTTGCATATAATTTTATGTGCATTCAATTTTACTGCCACTGAAATATAAATCTCTTGTTTTTCGGCCGAGATGTAGATCACTTACAGTACTTAGGTACTTATACTTACTTTTCTTCAATTTCAGAGATGAGTCTATCACCAATGAATTGAGAAACCTATTTTTACCTGTACTTTGTTCTAGCCATTAATCGTACTTAAGGCTTATTGGAAGTGTAAAAAAAAAACAGTAAAATTTTAATCTGGAATCTGAATCTAGTTTCTAATTATTACGCATTGACCTTCGAAGCCATCATTCGAATATCATAAAGTAAGTACTACTGTACACCATCTTTGACTTCGAATAAATAATGTGCTGGTGTACGCGTCCGTGACCGCCATTTTTATTTAACGTACTTCCAACTTGTGTTGTTATTAAATCTAATTGTGTGGAGTTCGCCGACAACGTTTGTTAAACACGAATTTCACTCTTGGCTGCCACAGATTCGTTAGGCTTTTGACATTTTTATTTTTATATGCGGAAATATAATTAGTTTTCTGAAGAAATTAGGGGAGAACATCGTGCGTTTCGGCTTTGTGTTTTATTAGATTCATTGCGGTACTGAAGGAGTTTACAAGGTTTTTTAACGTTGACAATTTTTATAAGAGTTTTGTGCTTTTTTTTATGCAAAAGCGTAGTTAAATGTGTATGTAATATATTAACAGTCAAAACAAACGTACTTATAATAATTACTTTGAAAATTTATCTCAAGAACTCAGATCTTTCGACATCATGTCAACGAATCAGTCAACGTGTAGTCTAGTCGAGCCAAGAGGTAATGAAAGATAAAAATAAATAAATTAATGAAGAATGCAAACCATCCGCTATCTTTATACTAAAAGACATTAAACTTATATGGGAGCGCTTTACTGAATTAATTAATTAAGCTGTGACATACAGGAGGGTTTTTTTAGTAAGGGTAAATTGGCTTCACGATTGGCTTATACAATGGATTGATGTATTTTAAAATTCTTGATGTATAATACAATAATAAAAACAGTAAGTGTCAGTTTATAATTTAGTTCTACTTTGGTCTTTTAAAATCTTTTACAAAATATTACTGAACTCGATTAATAGTCGCACTTCGCATAAAAAATAAGTTACTTTTTTTGAAAATACGTGTGAGGATTGAATACTATATATACAACTAAATACCGATAAGTCATTGGAACATTAATCAAAACCGTCAATCCATGAAGACGTAGCTATCTCAGATCCAATTGCTTCAAACGTCAGAAAGCAAACCAGCCTGTATATCGAAAGGTTCATGAAGTGTGTAATGGCCATTGACAAAATTAATAATCTCGAAGAGGGTGTGAGCGTTTCGAATGATATCATTATACGCTATTATTCGGATGACGAAATTAATTGCGTACCTACATAAAATTTACATATTTTCTCCCGTACCGGGGTAAGCTGTTCTATCGCATTGGGCGAGGTAGAAGTAATCGTTATAAAGGTGCTTTGTCAAGCCTATAATGTTGCCAGTTTCGAATATTGCAACGGTAAGCAATAATTGGTGTAATTAATTTGCCACAAACCTGAAACCGGGAAGGTTCTATATTTATAATGATGACCACATTTTTATGAAATTAAAGGACTTTAAAGATATGCCACCATCTGTATGTCTTAAGTCTAATATATACGTATAATAAAAAAAACAACGCCATCTTTTGATAGCAATTGAAAATCTAGACCGTCTAAGAACCTGCTTAAACACAAAAAGACTTCGTTCACGTAGAATAATGATTTACTGCGCTTACCCCGTATGTGATAGCGTGATAATATGTAGCCAGTATGTTGAACCGACCTATTAGTAATAATCATACAAAGTTTGAAGTAAATACATGCACTTTTTGAGATCATCCCGGACATACATACAGACAAACAGACAAAAAATTGAAATACCATATTTTTGGCTTCTGTATTGATTGTAGATCACGCCCCAGGTATTTTTTTTTAGAAAATATTAAATGTACAGTTTTGGCTTTTCTACGATTTTATTATATGTATATATTGTATATAGATATATACATAGATAATAGATATAGATAGGGGTCATTGATCAATAACCATAGAAAAACAATATTTCAATCCTCAAATGTCTGTATGATTATGTATTTCATAAGTAAGATTCTATTCCTAGGAAGAAATATCATATAGGATACCTAAGTACTCACTAAAGTCTAATGTCTTGTTCAGTTCACACACAAGCACTGTAATAGAGATTCATCCCACGTTCGTCTACTAAGTGTTTCTTCATAAACGCTCTTGAATCTGTTAATTATAATTAGATATCTATGTAAATGTTTGAAATCACGGCATTGCTATTTGTGGCTTATGGTTTAATCTTGCTAGACGTAATGAAAATTGAGTAGATGTGAAGAGATTGAAGTTATTTAGTAATAGAGTCTTTTTGAGGGATGCAACACTAAGTTTTAAGCATTCATTACAATTGTTTGGATAAATAATAATAAATAGGTACCTCTAATATATTGATCGTCAACCACTACGACTAAGTACGTAGGTACTAGGTACTTAACAATAAGTGAAGTCAGACTACATAGCGCTACGAAAGCGCTACGCAAGGTCTACGATCGCGCTACGAATCCGCTACGAACTTGCTACGAAACTCCAAATAAAAATTATACAGTCGAATTTACCTTTAACGTGAGTTAGGTATTTCATTTGTAAACTACTAAACATAGTACGAAATACAAACAAAGTTATAAACATGTTAGGTACATTGTAGATACGTTATAATGTGTACAGGGTAAGTAATAGTTGGCGCTCGTTTGCGCTACCATTGTCAAAATAATGGCGGGCTCCGCTATTTGGCGACTGGATACGGGGTCACATTATACCAAATGGTTAATTAAAATATCTACGGTTATTAGTGCGTGTATCCGAAATTTCGAACTGTGAAATGATTTCAGTGAAATGGAGCAATGGAAGAGCGTAAACGATGCGGCCATTGAATGAGCTCAACACTTATTTTGTGTACGTAATGAACGTAAATGCATTTTATATACTGATACGGAGTTTTAAACGCGTCTGTGTTGCTTGCGTATCTGTGGAATGGTGGTACATATATATGGCTATAGATGTGTTTCATTTAAATTGTAAGTGGATTGGCAATTTTAGTTTTGGTTTTATTTAAAAGGCTTTTTATTAAAAAAGC